CTCCTGGGATTTCTGCAAACTATGAGAAACCGAATTATTCAGGAGGGTTTTTTAGAAAGGGAATAGGGCCATACTGTCAAGGAACGGTTCAGAAAGATGCTTTGATGAGAGGCCTGATCCAACATGGCTTCTCCTAGTAAGTAAGTAAGTAACTTTTATTCACGGTTATCGACCAGCACATAATACACCGATGGCATCTCTTGCAACATTAAATGTGGGTTGCTGTGTTTTGTGTATTTCTATGTAGGCTTTTGTAGCACCAGATTTTACTATATGTGTAACAGTGTTTTATTGCACTTAATTTTTAAACTTGTTGTTAGCCGCCCTGAGCCATTGGGTAGGGCGGCATAGAAATCTCAAAAATAAATAAATAAACAAACATAAATGATACATATGACATTAAAATAGAAGCAGAATGTTAAAAGCAGGTTTTTAAAAAAGGAAAAAACTCCATAAAAACCATAATAATTAAAATTAATAAACTAAATCTTAATTCTCCTCTTTTTGAGCTGCTGTAGTTTTTCTAATTCTTAGGGCAAGCCATCCAAACCTAGCCACCTGATGAGTAACTTCTGCTTGCCTATCTGATTAAAAAAAAAACTTCTTAAAAGGCAGATTCTTTGCCTACGAGAAAGAGGAAGTGTCTTAGAGAAAGGAAGAGATTCACGGATGTTGTTATATGCCTTACAACCAAATATTACATGTTCTATAGACTCAGTACCATCTGCACAACAGGGAAGTATCCTTTCTTCATAAGGAGTTTTATTAAATTTTCCTTCCAGGACTGCAGATGGGAGTACCTCCCAGTGCATTAGTGTAAATGTTCTTCTGTAGTCCTGATTTGGTAAACGGGAGAGGTGGGGGCATAGGGATTACTCTGGTATCTGGAGCCAAGAGGGGCTTCTCTTCTCATGTTCTTCTTATCACATTGTGTAATTTCTGCATCATTCAACATGTCACGTTAATACTTAAGTTTTGTTTCAGGCTTCTGCTTGGTTTCCGGTTTCCTCGGTCCCGATCCTGTCACCCTTGCTCACTGGACATCTCATCCTGCTGGTTGTATTAAATAAATGTTCCCTGTTGTCTGGGGCAGGTGGATAACTCCTCCTTGACGGGCGAGTCGGAGCCGCAGACCCGCTCCCCAGAGTTCACCCACGAGAACCCCCTGGAGACCCGCAACATCTGCTTCTTCTCCACCAACTGCGTTGAAGGTGAAAGGGCACGGGGTGGGTGGGCTCCCTGGCGCCCCCTAGAGGGCAGGCTGGCTCCGTTTGACCCGGCAGGCCTTCTCCCCGGTCTGCAGCCCTCGCTTCCCAGAGAGTCCAGCTTCCCCGCTTATCAGGGCAGGCCCAGTTACATGAGGAGGGCAGAGGGGGAGGAGCCTACCAGGCCCCACCGGAAGGGTTTGGTAGGGGCCGGACCCCTTCTGGCATATGGCTGTGTGCTGGGCTTTGCTACTGGTTTGGTGGAGGGGGGCAGTGTGAGCATGCCCACGGGTCCCAAGCAGCGTTCCCTCTAAGCTGAGTCAGCGTGAGCTAGCCCACAGTTTTTTAGACTCCGGCTCACACATTTCTGTCTCGGCTCAGGAAGGAGAGCTCCAGAGCAAACTAATTTATGCAGCAGCCAAATCGCTCCCTGACAATTTTGATGCCAGTAGCTCACAAAGTCAGGGGTCATTTCGTAGAAAAAGAGGTGGAGGAGCTCATTAACATAACTCATTAGCATAACTTATTTGCATGTGCCACACCCCCTGACATCACCGGAAGTGTGTCAGAAGGCAACAGCCACTGCTCAGGCTCCACTGGACTGTTTTGGATTGCTAGCTATTGGGGGGGGGGGGAGCGCAGATCTGCCCTAGCAGAGAAGGGAGAGCTTGTACCTAAATAAACCTTGGCCTTAAAGGTGCCACTGGACTGTTTTGGATTGCTAGCTATGAGGGGGAGAGATGTGCAGATCTGTGCAGGAAGGAAGGTAGGAGGGGAAAAAGAGAAGGAAAGGAGGGGAAGGGGGAAAGAAAGAGAGGGAAAGAAGAAAGGAAAAAGGGAAAGAAAGACAGACAGAAGGAAATGGAAGAAAAGAAGGAAGGAAGGAAAGAGAAAGAAAAGAAAGAAAGAAAGAAAGAAAGAAAGGAAGGAAGGAAGGAAGGAAGGAAGGAAGGAAGGAGGAGGCTTGTTGCTCCTTGTGGCCTGGGGCTTCTGGGAACAGGGGGTGGGGCTTGTTGCATGTGCCCACCCCCTGGGCTCTTTACTGCCGGAGCTCCGCTCCTGTGCGCTCCTGCAGGAAATGACCCTTGCACAAAGTAGAGTTTTTGCTCACAAGACTCCACAGCTTAGAGGGAGCATTGGTCCCAGGCTCTGGATCTGCAGTGGGTCTGAGTCGCTGGACCCCTTTTCATCCCAGCCTGGAAGTGCACATGCACATCTCCTGCACACACACACACACGCCCAAGCATCAGAGAAGCTGCCCCTCCAGAGTGGTCTGGCGACCCTCGCACCACGGTGGGGGTTTGGTCTTGGGGCAACAGCACGGGTCAGGTTGCCAGCCTGGAGATGCTCCCTCTAAGCTGCAGAGTTTTGTGAGCCAAAATTCTACCTTGTGGGCTGCTGGCATTAAAGTTGTGAGTGAGCGATTTGGCAGCTGCATAAATTTATTTGCTCTGGAGCCATCTCTTCCTGAGCTAAGACAAAAAATGTGTGAGCTGGAGGCTAAAAAACTGTGAGCTAGCTCACACTAACTCAGCTTCGAGGGAACACTGGCTGGGATGAAAACGGGACTCCGGATGACAGAGATCAGTTCCCCTGGAGGAAATGGCCGCTCTGGGAGGGTGGACTCTATGGCATTGTACCCCGCTGAAGCTCCTCCCCTCCCCAAACTCCGCCCTCCTCAGGCTCCACCCCCAAAATCTCCAGGCAGTTCCTGACCGGGAGCCGGCAGCCCTGAGCGCGAGCCCCCCCCCCCCCCGGTGGCTTTGGGGTGCTGCTGGGTTCCCTCGTGACACAGAGGAAGCAGCCCTGCCGGACGAGGCGAGTTCAAGGCCTCCATCCCCGTCTCCGCAGGCACAGCCCGGGGCATCGTCATCTCGACGGGGGACCGCACGGTGATGGGGCGCATCGCCTCGCTGGCCTCCGGCCTGGAGATGGGCCAGACGCCCATCTCCCGGGAGATCGAGCACTTCATCCGCATCATCACCGGGGTGGCCGTCTTCCTGGGCATGTCCTTCTTCATCCTCTCCCTCATCCTGGGCTACACGTGGCTGGAGGCCGTCATCTTCCTCATCGGCATCACTCCTCCTCTTCTTCTTCTTCTTGAGGAAAGCCACCCCAATGTGCAATCTTATAACAGAATATAAAACAAAACAGCTGAATGACTCAGCCGCAAGAAGGGGAGGTCAGCTCAGCTACCTAACTCATCACCCCAAGCAGCTCGAAGGCTGAAGCCCGGGTTCAGGGAAGTGCCCCTCAAGCTTGCTTTGAAAGCGCCCTAATGTTCCCTCTAAGCTGTGGAGTCTTGTGAGCAAAAATCCTACTTTCTGAGCCACTGGCATTAAAGTTGTGAGTGAGCAACTTGGCTGCTGCATGAATTAGTTTGCTCTGGACACCTCCTTACTGAGCC